TTACTTTTATAGACTTGCATGCTTCAAACACTTTTTACAGTTTTACATTATATTTCTCTGTATTTAGTTGAACAGGGGCAATCCTGTTGTTGTCTAGGTGTCGTCAGACTGGGGGCCCCGGTAGGCATCTACCTACCCCTTTGTTTGACCACATCCCCCACATAGGTGACACATCTCTTTGCTGGAGACGGTGTACTCTAGCTTTGCTAGACGGTTTATCTTATAGGTAGCGGGTTTTATCCGCCCTTTTCAGTTTAAATTTGTGTTGATTTATCTCTTCCTGGTCATCTTGTCCTTGACACTCTTACTTATCTCCCTTTTTCCTTCTCTCTGCACCCTTACCCACTGAAACCTACACCACCTCGACCTCCCTGGTTCTGATACAACCTGCTACTTATATCTCTGTCCCCTCCCCCTCTTCCCGCCTGCCCCCTGCCATGGCCTTGACATCGCCAGCGTTTGAGGAGCTGAGGCTCTGCACATACAATGCCAGAGGTCTCAACATCCCCTCAAAGCGGGGTCAGATAATGTACCACATGCATAAGAACAAAATTAACGTTGTTATGCTTCAGGAGACGCATTTCCAAACTGACCAGGTCCCCTCCTGTGCCAACAGGTATTTCTCCACTTGGTACCATAGTACCAATGCCAACCACAAATCTAGGAGATTCTCCATTGCCCTCCCCAAATCTCTCCCAGCGACGGTGGTGGACCACCGGACGGATCCCTTTGGTAGATACCTTATCTTGAAAGTCTCGCTCTGGGGTAGGATCTTCACCCTCATCCGCAGAGTTATCTTGGCACTCCACGAAGGAGTCTCGTCGGTTGACGCTCGCTCTGATTCCGGCCCGGGGACCTGGATGGTAGAGGGACAACTTAGTTCCTACATCTCCTCTTTAGGAGGCCCTGATAGCTTTGAGAGAGAGGAGACGGCCTTTGACTTCCTTCTACTGGCCTCTACGCCCCCGAAGCACACCATCTCTCTTCTCTACTCTATTCTCTCCCTCGCTGCCTCCACTGAGTTACCTACATACACGCAGGCCTGGGAACGGGAACTGGACACATCTATAGCGCCAGCTGACTGGGAGAAGTCCTTTGTCCTCACCCACTCCCTTTCCATTGCTAGCCGAGCTCATGAAATTTTTTTAAAAATACTCACCCGGTGGTATAGATGCCCCGCGGTCCTCCATCGCTACTACCCATTGGTGTCTGCAACCTGTTGGCGCTGTGACGCCTCTCCTGGTCACATGACCCATATATGGTGGAGCTGCCCCAGGATCCGGGGGTTTTGGCAGGGGGTGCTGCGTGTATACCTCAGGGTGACAGGAACCACAATTGCTGATGACCCCAAGATTCTGCTGCTGTCAATGATCCCGGGCTCGCTTAAGTCGGCAAAGAGGGGACTCTTACGCCATTTCCTCACAGCAGCCAGGGCGGTTATACCACGCCACTGGCGTACTCCGGTGGTCCCCACCCTTGCGGAATGGGTAGTGGAGCTGGATCGTATTGCAGATCTGGAAGATCTAATGTCCGGAGAGAACGAAACTGGGGACCGGTATGTCCGCACCTGGTCAGTTTGGATTGATTTTAGAAACTCAAATGGTTTTCAGGCAGCCCTCTCGCCCTGAACCACCTGCAAAGTGACATAGACGCAAGGCGGGAGGGGGGTAAGGAGAGACAATCCCCCCCCCATCCTCTGACTCTCTCTACTTTTCCCTGACCCTCATGCTGTTTTTCTTCTTCTGTCCCACATGTGTCCATTCTAGCAGCTAGCGATGCACAGCATCTATATGTGTATAACAGCAACTTGCGAAACACAGCGAGCCCGTTTGGGAGGGACACCACCCGAACATATTTGTGCTGCGTACGGTCACTGCTCCAAGTGGCAAGTAGAGACAGATCCCCGATGGGGCTGTACCAACACAGCTGATCTTGGCAGTATATTAGGCAATAGACGCCGATCGATGTTGGGCTTCAAATTGTACAATGAAACAATGTTGTGTGCCCTGATGATGTTGCTCTCAGGCTTGCCTGAAGATTCAAGCTATTCTGTATGTTTATTTGTCTCCTTTATATTTTCCTTGTTATGGTGAAATGTCTGTTTGCCATTAGGTTTTGTATTGTATTGAAATCTTTAATAAAATCAGATTGGACTAAAAACGGATTGGGACCTGCAGAGGTAACATTTACTGTATTATGAATATGGTGAATGTTACTGAGACCTGAATTTCATATTTAATGAGTATAATGAGTAACATAGTTTTTCGATGGACTATAGCAAATAAGCCTCAGGCTAGTAAGTGCACAGGCAAATCCAGCCTTTAAATGGTCTTTGTGCTCCCACAGCATCCAGTTCCCCTTCCCATTTTGTACTAGTTAATACAGTCCCTAGCTAGACACACTCTGGCCCCTTATGCTGTTCCTTATAGTTCCACATTGTCTTCTTACACTTCAAAAGACTTGAAAAACTTCCTCTGTACTGTACTTATTGTAAGTAAAGCTATGTTGAATCCAAAAAAAAAAAAACTCAGTTACATGCGAAAATTTTGTCTCGTTGGTCTGATTTTAAAGAATCTCGATCATATTTAGAAGTTATGTCTTCAGACCCAGTTGTTGGTGTAGATGTGTAAAAGTGTGCTAAACATTTTATAGTTGAAGAGACTTAAATGGGACCCCATCTCTCTATTTTTCTTTTTTTTCTCCCCTTTTTTTTTTTTCTTTCATTTTCTTTTTATATTTGTTTGTTATATGTACAGTATCTATATATAGACATGGCAAGGGTTTCTAACCCACATGTAGTAATATGATTTTGTATTGTTTGCAACATGTTATACAGGAGCAAAAATTAATCCTTGTGATCATATTATATATTCTTGGCCCAGCCCTCTATATGACAACATTATTTTCATGTGTTATGCAAATAAATATGTTAAGATATGATTCACTATGTATGCATTCACACCTACAAGTATTTAGTTATGAGGATTAATGAACAAGATTTTTGAGCTCACCACAACAGAAAATGTATTGGAATATAATGACAAGACTTAAATACAAAGAACAAACAATCTATTTAACCACCAAATACAAAGAAAAACATTTAAAATGCAAAAAAATATTAGCAAAAAACACAGACCATGGTGTTAATATATATAATCTACCAATCAAAAGTTGTAGAACACTCCCCTTTTTCCAGTTTTTATTGAAATGCTTGCAGTTAAAATCCATTGAATAACTTGAAATGGTACAAAGGTAAAAGGTAAACTGCCAGAGGGAATAAAGGAGGTTTAGGTTAACAAAAATGGAAACAAAATTTACATTTCAGAGTTATACAAAAAGGCCTTTTTCATGGAAGGAGTAATGGGTTAACAACTCACAGTTGTTCTGCAGCGAATGTAGGTAAATTAAGCCTTGAAAGTTTATGCTCAAAATTCCTACAGGTGTCCCAACTTTTGTTGATTACTCACAAGCCCTCTGTCTGTATAAAGGCAATGTTGGAACAGACTGTGTTACTACACACTCTTAAGCAATATTTGGGCAGTATTGTTCTGCAGAAAGTAGTATATTGCTTTCAAAATGGCAAGAAAAGGGCAATTGACAAAAGAGGACAGACAGTCCATTATAACCCTTAAAAGTGTAGGTCTTTCCTTTAGATAAATTGCCAAGAAAGCCAAGGTGTCAGTGAGTACAGATTCCACACCATCAAAAGGCACTTGTAAACTGGAGGAAACTCTGACAGGAAGAGGTCTGGCAGACCCAAAGCCACAACAGAATCAGACAAGTTTTCGAGAGTCAACAGCTTGTGTGACCCATGTCTCACAGGACAACAGCTTCAAGCACAGCTTAATGCTGACCAAAGTAAGCAAGTCTCAGTTTCAACTGTAAAGAGAAGACTTCAAGCTGCAGGTTTGACAGGTCGAGTGGCAGTAAGAAAGCCATTGCTAAGATGACAAAACAAGAAAAAGAGGTTTGCCCGGGCCATTAAGCACCATCAGTGGACTACTGAAGACTGGAAGAAGGTTATATTAACAAATTAATCAAAATTTGGGCTCTGTGGTTCATCACACAGGGTTTTTATATGCCGTTGAGTAGGCACACAGATTATTCCTCTGTGTGTGACATCAAATGTCAAACATGGAGGAGAAAGCATGATGGTCTGGGGCTCTTTTGCAGGATCCAGAGTAGGTGACTTGCGCAGAGTGAGTGGCACACTGAACCAAAACTAATACCACAGCATTTTGCAATGCCATGCATTACCCTCTGATGTACACCTACTTGGTCAGGGGTTCATCATACAGCAAGATAGTGACCCAAAACAAACCCCCAGGCTGTGTTAGAACTACCTTAGGAGAAAAGAACAAGGCGGTAGGCTTCAAATCATGGAATGGCCAGCGTAGTCTGCAAAATTAAGCCCCATTGAGCTGGTTTGGGATGAACTGGACAGAAGAGTGACAGCAAAGCAACCTACAAATGCAACATATTTGTGGGAACTTCTGCAATATTGTTGGAAAGAACTTTCCAAACAATATTTAACTTCCATAGTACAAAGAATGCCACAAGTGTGTTCGGCTGTTGTATCTGCAAACGGTAGATACTTTGATGAGTCAAACATTTAGATTACATTTTGTTAAAGAAAACTATTTTGTGATTTCTTTTGGATGTCCAGTTGTTTATTTGTTCTATGCTTTATTTCCAGAGTACATTGAGACAATAAACTGCGTAAATTTCAGTGTTTTAAAACTTATTAGTAGTGTGTGTGTGGGTGTGTGTGTGTGTGTGCGTGTGTGTGTATATGTATATG